ATGGAGCTGCGATGAGTAACTATCTTTCTGCAGGTGGATTCAGATAGCTAGAAACCTGTGATAATTTTGATTGTTTTGCAATAGCAGATGATTCGTTCAAAGGATATGTGTTAGAAGTCGATTTAGATTATCCACCAATTTACATAATATTCATAACGATCTGCCGTTTTGTCCTGAACCGATAAAGACTTTAAATAATCTAAATGCACAAAACTTGTGCCAAATCTTTACATATAATAGATAGATAGATAGAATAGATAAAAAAAGTACATCATTCACTACCGTAATTTAAAGCAATGTCTTAAAAATGGTTTACAATTAGTGAAAAGACACAGAGTGTTATAATTTTCCCAATATCCTTGGTTAAAAACTTATATTGATTTAAACACAAATCTTTGTAATTCGTCTAAAAACCAGTTTGAAAGGGATTTGTTTAAGCTTTTAAGTAACTCTATCTTTGGAAAGACTATGGAGAATGTAGATAAAACAAAATATACGCTTATTAAGTCATTGGAAAAATAGAAAGCAACTTGGGGGTGTATAGTCATATAACGATAAACCTAATTTCAAGACATGATCAATTTTTGAAGAGAATTTAGTAGCTGTTCATATGCAACGACTAAGAGTTGTGTATGATAAGCCTCTTAACGTAGGCTTTTGCATACTTGATTTATCCAAAACGGTGATATATGATTTTTTTACGATTACATCAAACTCAATGTATAAAGACAAGGTTACTTTATGTTATACAGACACAGACTCTCTTATATTAGAAATTCATGCAGATAATGTTTACAATGATATTAAGAACAATATATCATACTTTGATACATCCAATTATCCAATTGACAATATTCACGGTATCCCCAAAACTCAATCAGTTATCGGAAAAATGAAAGATGAATTCAAAGGTGTTCCTGTTGAAAGTTTTATTGGGACAGGCGCAAAAGCTTACTGTGTTAAGTTATCCAATTCTAACCTACTGAAAAAAACAAAAGGTATTTCAAAAAATGTAATCAAACATCAGCTTCTATTATCGGATTATATTCAAGTTATAGAAGATAAAAAATCAATTCTTAGAAACATGTATGTTTTTTTGTCTCACACAATATATACACACAATTAAAAAATTAAATAGCATTATCATCATCAGACGATAAAAGAATAATTTTACCAGTAATGTTCACACCCTAGCCTTAGGCCATTTTCTTCTCACTAGGAGAAATTTACAGGGAGATTTAGATAGATTAATTGAGGAGGCTGTAGGTTTATGTGAAAATGATGTACAAGTAGAAGATTTAGATAAGTTGGCTGATTTATATGTTGTAGATAACTTACATTTAAGTCTATATATAAAATAAAAAACTTTATTATATTATTAAATGTGTTTTATTATCTATTTTAAACATAGTATTTTAGGTATATAAATTAAATATATTACAAAAAAATTAATCAGACATAAAATTCTCATACAAAAAAAATACATTTGATAAAGCACATATGCAATTGTTTTTTTCGTGGTAATAACATGTAGATTCCATGGGTTGAAGAGGTGGATACTCATCAAACTCGTACACTGGAGCATTTGAGTACTTCCTTATATAATTTGCTTTTTCCAAACCTTTTACGTATACCATAGTAGCATTAGTTGTTATTTTTTCCAAAATATTCGGCAGTTGGTGAATAGGTGTGAAGCCGTTAGTCCAATTAATACAATGATGATTATTTATCAACCATACAGCCTGTCTATGAAAATCTGGTGGAAGCATTCTTAATGGGAATGGAGGTTTAAACAAGAAGTGAGTTATATGGGTTCTATCATATGCTGCTAATTCTTTTATGATAAATTTGTTATTTTCCAAATAGGTAAAGAAATAATAAATAAGACTTACTCACAATCAATTTAATTTAACTACCAGACGACCGGTTTCGCTTTCTACAATATGCAAAGCATCCTCAGGTCTCGATACAAAGTTAAACAAATGAGTTATTTATAAATGAAATAAAGTTAAAATCATTTGTTTAACTTTGTATCGAGACCTGATGATGCTTTGCATATTGTAGAAAGCGAAGCCGGTCGTCTGATAGTTAAATTAAATTGATTGTGAGTAAGTCTTATTTATTATTTCTTTACCTATTTGAAATGGACTCACACAAGCAACACATTCATGATTTGTTATTTTCCATTTTAAAACCTTGAACATCTATTACCAGCTTCATATTTTTAGGTTAGATAATTGTTTAACAACCCGTTTTTGGTTTTCGTAGTGACACAATATCAGCTTTTAACTTAGCTATCTTTTGAAGGTACTGCTTTAACCTACGGAAGTATTCATCCAACATTGTAAACTGACAATATTTTAGTTGGACTCAACTATTAAAGAGGTCGAGGGACATGCGCATTACAATTGCCTTATAATTTTAGTTAGAGGATTATAATTAAATTCTTTTTCATGTAATATTAAACAATAAGCTGATACAGTCTCACCAACATTTTCCTTGGTTTCAAATTCAATTATTAAAGCAATAGGAGTATTAGCTTTGAATTCTTCAAGGTTAAATATAGGTTGATTAGTTTGAATATGATAGTAAGATTCTTGGAAATTTGCAAACATTTTATATAATGTAGCAAAGCGGTTGGTATCAAAATCCAAGTTTAAATCATGATACGGAAATTTTTCAGAGTTTAGGAACACTCGTACATTTGTTAAGTTGCAATAATCAAATTTACTCATATCTTTTAATAATTTTCCTTTGCGTCCATTTTGAAACGCTATTGAGATATGTCTTGGACTTTCTAATTTTGTTGATGTTTTGACAGGTCGCGTATGTCTTGTTGCATTGTTTAATGTAGGATATTCAATTATTAATTCCCAGCTTCTGAATTTAGTAGGTAGTTCTACATTACTACGAATTATTTTATTGAGCCGCAGTTGTTCGCTAATATTAGGTAAAATATGTGGTACATTCTAATAAAGCTTTGTTAGTTGAATTTTTGGTTTTTCTGTTTCATCTGTTGCAATGACTGCTTCTAGGTCATCTTTTTCGCGTATTAGAATTAATTCTTGTCTCATATTAACGACGACTTTACGAAAATCCTCAAATACGCAATCAAGTAATTTTTGTTTAATGGCATATTTAATTCATTAACTCTTCTACTATTCTACTACTCCAAAATAGTAAATGAATGTCAGGAATAAAATAAAAACTAAATTTAGATGAATAAATTATTTATTTGTATGTACAACAAAAGAAAGTCTTACTCGAATCAGTCACGACAATATCACGCAATGGTTTAATTAAAATAAAATATTTTAAGAATATCAAAATAATCTAAGAAAATAAATGAATCGTAACAAAAAATGCAAATAGGCATTTGTAAAAATGTGATAATACTTAAGAGCTATTACATTTTCAATTAAAAATACTTTCATAGTAGGATCGGTAATATCCAGGAATCAACCCCGCATCCACAAGACTCCTCACGTTATTTTTCTTCCTTTCAGATATATCCAATTTTTGGTGGTACAATGGTTTAAGTTCTTGAGGCCGGCTGTTTCTGGATGTTCTTTTTGTCAAATCAAGTTCCTTGAAGTCATCAAAATAATATACACGTTTTATAGAATATTTTAATCTCATTCATTACGTTCTTTTCAATTTTAATGACTTTTATATCAAACAACTTTAAACCACACCATCAACACTCCTATTCAGCTTAATAACTGGCAGTTGTTTCAAATCCATAAAATCTTCGTGTCCCATCTCATTTACAATGTACGGCGTCCCACGTTTTTTCGAACTTCTGATGGCACAGGCGTATTGGTAAGGTACGTAAATGGGTCCAGATTTAAGACTTTTTTTTACTTCCTTCTCAATCGTTGAATGTACTGCGTCCCCTTAATTTTGTGTGTGGCCTCGGATTAAGAACTTATGGGTTATTAATTTTACTTTGAGATTTAATACTGCATAGACGTACATTCCAATGATAAACTGGTTCTTCTGTTGGCCACAGCAGTTATCAGAATAGAACACTATATCAAGATCTTTATTAGAGAAAGAAGACTTCTTTTGCAAAAACTTCAAAACACAGCTACCTATTTCATTGCCTCCACGATTGCCTTGAGATTTATCCCAAAAGTAACATTCAACATTGTCTGTTTTCAACTCCGATATGGTAAAATGCAAACAATTTATTTTGGAGTTATAATAGAATGTTGATACGTCTCCTTTAGGAACGGTTATTACCGCTTGTAAGTCATAGCATGCAACGATAAAACAATCTGTCACTTTTTCTTTGTCACTAGCTTTTTCTTCGCGACTTTTTAATAATATCATAATCTTCCTTCAAAGCTTCCTTTCTGGGATCTTCAGCCAGCTTATATATTGTGCATTGTTCACATTGGTCCTTTTTAGGTACGAACAAACTAATATTAAATTCATTTAATATGTATATTAAATGTCGGATAATATTTTAGATGTTGGTGTTTAATATTCTAATTATCTAATTAAATATACATTTTTAAATAAAACAATGACACTTTACTTAAAATGACGTCTATTTAATATGGCAATAAATTAAAAATATGACATTTAAACCACAAAAATGACACTAAGCACAATATGCCCCTTATTTATTCTATATAATCACAGTTATCTGGAATAGTTGAGTAAAATATCGGCACTTTACAAAATATGCCAATAACGAAATCATAATTTGTTGTATTTTTACTATCAAGTAATTAAAAAAACGACATTATACAAAATATGTCACTTTTTCACTCACATCAGCTAAGACTCGTCGCGGCGGCTGGACCTTTACTGGTTTAGTGTCGGTTTATCGGTCACGACCCATGCTCGCTACAACAAAGTAAGAAGTGACATTAGCGACGTCTACAGAAAACCGAGCAAGCTATTACAACGGAGATCTTTGCAACAGACGTAGTTTTGCTCGTAGATTTTAGATGTCGCTGTAACTAAAAACCACCGAATTTTGTATAATGTCACTTTTGATTTGAATGTGCGATTTCTTCATCACTAACAAAGTCATCCATCTGAGGAGATGAATCTTCTTGGTCACTAGATGTCTCTTCCCTTTTGGTAGACGGATGGATGGATGAAATACATACTTCTGCTTGCAACTTATCATTTTTAGTAGTTTCCATCTCAGAAGTGGATGGAACTTCTGCTTGCAAAGAAGGTTTCACCTTAGACCTTGGCGTTGACGACGATAATACTCGTCTTTTGAATGACCTATAACCAATAGGCTTGATGCGAGAAATATCTCCTAAAAACACCAAGGAATTTGAACTATCGTTAAAATCTGTTTTCTTGTCGGCAGTTGTCAACTCAAAATTGTCGGAATCAGCAGCTTTCTTATATTGGTTAATTATTTTAGGACCTTTCCCTCTGACCATGGGTTTAGTAACAACTTCAATACTTTTTACTGTTTTCATGATAGCTTTAAATAATACCAAGACAACTATAACTTTTGAATTTATACTTTACTTGCAGACTGACACGAAACATCAAAGTTTTGTATTTATACTTAGACTTGCCGCTAAAATGAATATCTATTCCAGAGGTTCCAAACTTTTGTCAGTTATGTATTTTTCGTGTATTATATTTAGAACAAGAATAACTGTTTAAAATTATACTAAGAATTTTTAAGATTATCTATTTATTTCAATGATTGCAGAAATTTGTAGTAAACAGAGTAAAATGGGCAGTTTATATTTTTTAATAAGACAGTTTATATTAAGTTCAGTCCCACATTTTGACAGTCACTGATTAAATAATCCACTTGCACATTTGATAATCATATTTTAAATATCACATTTTATTTACTACATTTAAAATGCTAAAGTTGTCTTAATCTTTTCGGATGAAAGCAATTAGTTACTGATTTTTTTGGATTTGCTTCAAGGATAACGCTGAAAATAGCATAATTAAACCCGAATGACTTTTTTGGATGTCTAAAAAGGGTTTGTAAATATGGCTAAATTTGTCTAATCTGAAAGGAAAAGGATTTGTAAATATAGCTAAATCTGTCTAATCTTAAAAGATGCAAGCAATTTATTACTGATTTCGCATTAATCTGTGTTTATTAGGGTGGGCCGACAAATTTTTTTCTGGAAAATAACAACGCCTGTGGTCAAAAAAGTTGAGTTATACTAAAACACAAATTTTAAGTCCAAAATGAGTAGCTAAAAATATTTTTTTCCACTGCCACAAAGACTCTATATTTTTTAATATAAAAGGTCATTGTGGCAGTGGAAAAAATAAAAAATAATAATTATTTCAAACGCAGATCTTCATATTTTTTTATTATATAATTTTTGAAACATCAGGGTTATTTATTTTGTAACTTAAAAAAATTGAAATAAAATCTGTATTGTTCTGGCGGTTTGATGCATACTTTATAACGTTATAGTAAACTTTATTTGCGTATTTTTCCACTAACTAATAAGTAGACAAAAATTTATTTTTAGGAACCTACTTCAAAGAGTGTGCCGAAATTCCCCAATAACAATAAAGTAGACGTTAGTATAAACAAAGTTAATATTACCGATTATAGTATATTATCATTCTTAAAATAACGTGACATTGGAGGTCAACGCTTCGCTTATGCTGCAGATTTTGCAGTGGTGTAAGTGTAAACCAATATTTTAATCAATTAAAAATTATTATACAATATTTAAATTGTTGGTTGGAGGCATATCTTATATTCGTGATGTGTTCTTGCCAGGAGATCTAGAAATAATAGATTGTCTGGCTGCCTATTACGCTAGTTCATTTAGCATTACCAGGGTGCACGTGTAGTATTCTACTACGGACGCGAACTAGCTTTACACCCCGACGTATGCCCTAAAATTAACCAAATTCAATATTTGCTTGTCCGGAATACCTAAAGCAATCGCCTTTTGTCTGTATCCCAGCCAGGCATTAGAACAGGCGATATCGATACTATGTGTAAACATACGAAGTGTCCACTTCCTGGAACGAATAAAGGTTCTGTATAAAGTAATCAAAAAGTCGCATTTATCAACGCCGCCCATATGTTGGTTATATTTTCTAATTACTTCAGGTCGTTTCACATAAATATATTGTTTCTTATTTTTGTCCCACCTTTTACATTCATCTTCTTTTCCTATACCCATAAAATTAGATGCCATGAGAACACTTTTATTGTCAAACCACTGAGTGAGAACAACTTCTCCATCACCACTTACATATTGTTGGGAAAATCCACGACCTTTCTTTGAAATCTCCTTTTCAAGCAGCAAAGGCGGTTTGCTAAACCTATCTCCTCTTGCTGTACAAGTAGCATAAATATTTTTATGCAGCAACAATTGCAATAAATTATAATTGGAAAAGTAGTTATCGGAAAAAAGTTGAACATTTGGTACTTCAATTCTTTCAGATAATTTTAAAACTACTGACGCCGCTAATCCAAAAACTTTTAGTTGATTTTTGTCCAATTCCGTTGTAGCCCCTTGATAAATGAGAAAATCATAAATTAAACCACTGGAACCACACAAGGCAAAAATTTTAATACTCCAAGGTTTTGGCTTTTTTGCCACATACTGCTTAACATTTAAATGTCCTTTGAAGGGTACCATTTGCTCGTCTATGCATAGTTCAGTTTCGATCGGCAAAGACAAGCATTTGGATCTAATTATGTCATACAAAGGTCGTACCTTCCAAAAGCGATCCTGATCGGTTTCACCAACATTTATTCTTTGGGTATCTACAAAATGTAAATGAGTCCTTAGCGAATAAAACCGATTTATTGGCATACTTTCAGAAATTTGTGGTACTTGTAATTGTGGGTTCCAATAAAATTTTATACGTGGATAATGTAAATTCCCCATCAGTATATGAATCCAACAAATTTTTTTTAGTTCGCGTACATTTGTTGGAGCAAATTTTTTCATATTTTGAACTGCAAACAAGTTCGTATTTTCTACCATTATTTCAAATAAAGCATCTGTAAAATATTGTCCAAAATAAAAATATGGACTTTCAAGCTCTACGATATCATCTTGCTGTTGAGTATGCCAATTGATGTACTTTGGTGTTTCATAGCGGTCAATTTTGCGCCACATAATATCTTTCTTTTTACTTAAATCATTGTTTGTCAAAAATCTATCAATAACTGTCTTACTTGATTCTACTCTTTGTTCACATTCCGATGTATTTGCTCCAGCATCTTCAAGGTGAGGTGGTCTTTCCTGATTTTCAACTAATTCACCTAAAAAATAACAATTAATTTATTTCACAACAGTTAAAAATCACAAATACCTTCTGTATGCTCTAAACTTGTTCCCTCTCCCTTGCCATCAACAACAGAACGAATAACTTCCCCGTTTTTGTACTGCTTTCATTCAACTCATTATCATCATCACTACTAACTTCTTGCTCCCTATCTCCCCAACCATAATCGTCATTGTCATCATCACTAAGCCCGTCAATATCTGATAGGCCGGCCTCAATTAGCTCCATTAGTTGTTTTTCATTTAACGGCTTTCTTTTACTCATTTTTATATGTATTTTAATACTGCAAAATAAGTGAAGTATAAACAACTGTAAATAATATCTGGTTTTGTAACATACCTGTCGACCTCTGTATGTTCACACTGTACAGTATACTGTACACTAATGTTTACTCAAATATAGAAAAAACAAACAAACTTATCAGAAAGTGGACCGTAAATGCATCAAATACAAGTGTTTCTAGTCATCAACAAAAATATATCGGACATTTACATGCAATCTGTAAATTATTAAAAGCCACCTTACATCCAGACACTGAAGTAACCGTCACAGCAACCTACTTCCTTGAATTTAATTTTTTTTTACTTTAAACTAATCAACGCTAGATGAAAGCAACTGTTTGAAATTAAAACTAATATGTATACATTATAATGTACATTATGAATAAAGCGGATAGAAGCATCTGGTCACGTCATTTTGATATCGGTAAAGTGATGTACAATATACTGTACACCATGAGCGAAAGGGTTGCATCAGCGGTGCTACTAGATTTTGGTGTCATAGATCCGCAAAATAAAACAAATATCATCGATAAGAACAAAATAAGAAGAGCAAGAGAAAAGAAAAGAATTGAGGTTCAGAACGATTCCATTCCATTATGTACTCGTGGTCTTTACTTTGATGGACGGAAAGACAAGTCTTTAGTGTTCCAGGAAAATGCAAGAAAAACTGTGGTGGAAGAGCATATCACAATGTTAGAAGAACCTGGTTCTAAGTATCTGGGTCACATTTGTCCTACATCTGGCACTGCTATTAATATAGGAAATGCAATGTTGGAGTTTTTAAAAAAATGTAATTTGGACCTCAATAACTTAGAAGTCGTTGGATGCGACGGTACTGTCACAAATACAGGGCCTAAAGGAGGCATTATAGTGTTACTGGAGAATAAAATTGGAAGGCCCCTGCAGTGGTTTGTCTGTCAGCTTCACGCCAACGAGTTGCCTCTAAGACACCTATTTGAAAAACTGGATGGCAATACCAGTGGACCAAGTGCGTTTTCGGGGCCTCTTGGAAAACGACTGCAAGTTTGTGAAACTCTTCCTGTAGTTTCATTTTTAAAAATAGATTCATCAGTGGACGAATTTCGCAGCGACGATCTAAGTACAGATCAAAAATACCTGTACGATATTTGCCAAGCAGTAAAAAGTGGTGCTTGTTCAGAAAAACTTTCCAAGAGACAGACTGGAAAAATGGTTCATTCTCGGTGGCTTACCACTGCTTCCCGTATCCTTCGGTTATATGTAGCAACCAGAAACCCATCGGAAAATTTACAAATACTAAGCCATTTTGTAATGAAAGTGTATGCGCCCATGTGGTTTTGTATTAAGACTCACCCGTCATGCATTTATGGTGCAAGGCATCTATTCAAGACAATAAGACTCTGCGACTATTTACTACCAGAATTAAAAGACATAGTCTATAAATGTATTCAAAGAAATGGATACTTTGGGAGCCCAGAAAATATTATTTTGGCTATGTTGTTTGACGAACGTAAACACATAAGACAATTGGGGTTCCAAAGAATTTTGAAGAGCAGACAGTTAAATTACAATGATCAGCGACATTTCGTAGTACCAGAATTATTTTTTGGCAGTAAGGATTACTTTGAGATTATCGACTGCTAGAAAGTTTTATGGACAGAGCCTCCTGTAACTATGAAGCTATCAAAAGATCAACTAAGGGAAGTTGTTGAAAATCCTGAAACCAGTCTTTTGGCATACGTAAAATCATACCCTTGTCACATACAAGCGGTTGAGACATACAAGCCGTCAAAATAGTAACAGAAAGTTCAGCTTCTGTCTGTGGAAGTGAAAAAAGAGACGGTTATATAAGGAACAGGCTGAAATCAAAGGAAAATATGCCGAAATATGAATCAAAGAAAGACTTTTTTTTGAAATAATGTGATTGTTACTTTTGAAAGACATTCTGTTTTGTATCGTTATATATTTATAGATAAACTATTTTTGTATTTGTATTGTTGTATTATGTGTTCAAAACAAATTTAGCTTTAGTATAAATTATTTTTTTTTGTCGGTCAGATAGCTCAGCGGGCTGTGCGGCTGCCTCTCATTCGCTTCACTGTCGAATGGTTCAGTGGATGTGGGTTCGAGCCCCAGCTCGGTGTACTGAAAACAAAAAGTCTAACGCAGCAGTTTAAAATTCTAGATGAATCTGCGGCTTAGACTAGGATATGCTGGGATCTGATCGGCCTATGGTGGAGCAGTACGGCAAGAGATAAGGGCTTGCGGCTTGGTGATACTCCTCCATAGATCCCTACCGGACGGGCGTAACGCCTAAAAAACCGGATATATATATATATATATATATATATATATATATATATATAATATATATATATATATATTATATATATATATATATATATATATATATATAAGTTATGATTTTTGAGGATGCAGTCAGTTTATTTGGCCCACAAGACAAAGAAAACTCTTTGACTTACTGTCAAGCTGTCGAATTTTATTTAATTCTTTTTCAAGACATCTATAAAAAGAAATATAAATTAACTAGTTAAAATTGTTAATTTTCTTACTTACTAGTCGTGAGATTACAGTTTTTAATATTGTACTCTACTAAACAAACCATAATAAATATAATAAATTTTTTTTATTAAAAATAACTATATTGTCACTATATATGTCTCTGTCATGGTTTGATTAATGGACATATATGAATGAAAATACAGTTACTTTATGTGGAAAGCAAAACCAGTAACAATAGTTTTTATTATAATTTATTTAATTGTCTATAAAAAATATAAATTAATCCAGTCAGCAGTTTGACTTAAGCACATATGAATTTTTTAATATTAGGATGTCAATAGAAAATGAGATTTTGACGGTATTTATTGATATGTTAATATGTAACAATAAATGTTACTTAATTTGTCAATATCTGATCTTCTATTTACACATTTTTTTATTTTTTTGTATATGTGTCATTTCTAAAAATAACCGTTTCTGTTCATGTTTAATAACCATCCTCAAAAATCATAACTTATATTTAAATCAACAGTCAAGAATACCACCATCTTATATATATATATATATATATATATATATTATATATATATATATATATATATAAATTATTTTTTTTGTATACAAAAAAAAATCTACCATACAATACATTTTTTTTTTAAATTCTTAATTTTATACAGCGCTGTGGCAGTAGAAAAAAAAATTAGTTGTCAAACAAAATACTATGATCAAATTTATCGTATAAAACACTTTTTTTGACTCGGGCAACCATAATAAATTAAAAAAAAAAGAATTTGACATAATATTAAATGATTGGATTTTTTCGTAAAAATCTCTTTATTATGTAGCTCTGTGGCAGTGGAAAAACATTAAATTAATTATAAAAAAAAAACACTGTGAAATAAGTTATCTTATCATAAATCTTTTCTGGGGTCAGGCAACTTAATTAAAAAAATAAAATAAAAACACATTACTCAACGGCCCACCCTAGTGTTTATGCTTGTTTATTTTTAATTTACTAAAAATGACATGTCTTTCCGTTAAAAATATCTAAAATGGATTTAATATTTTATTTTTGGTTTATTATTTTCTATATTCATGCTTAAAAATAGTTAAAAAAAGATAGATATTGGTCCAGTTCTTTGCGTATTTCTTTCGGAATTTTCCACCAATCAGAAGCAGTACAAGGTTAAAAATGAAATAAACATTTCATTAAGGTTTATTATTTTCTATATTACAAAATAAACATCTTTCAGTGAAAGGACCACACGTATCGCTCCACTCATGCTTAAAATAGTTCTTTTTGCACGGTAGATATTGGTCCAGTTCATTGCGTATTTCTTTCGGAATTTTTCGCCAATCAGAAGCAGTAATGTATTCCAACAAAAATTGAAATAATACTATCTAACTGAAATTTGTTCTGAGATACTGGATTAACTCGTCTTGGTTTTATACCATGATTTTTTTTGAATCTTTGGTAATTGTAAAAAACGTCTATCCATTTATCTATTTTGTAATTGACTGAAATTTGGTTATATGAGAAGTCATTTATCAGTGCTCTTTAATCCTATGGAGAAGAGTCATGTCTTTTATATAATTGGGGGAGGTTCGGTTCAAGATCAGGTCAAGTTAGGTTTAAGTCTTCTATATCAAGTGGTTGGTTGACCGGATCATTGCGGAAAAAGTCCTATATAAGTGGTTGACCGGATCAGGTCGAGTTAGGATTAAGTCTTCTATATCAGTGAGGAGTGGGAGACAATTCCTGTATAAGTGGTTGGTAGTTAGGTTCAAGATCAGGGATTACCGGGTTGGTTGACCGGATCATTGGGGGTGGAAGAAAAGTCCTGTATAAGTGGTTGGTGGTTCGGTTCAAGATCGGGGACTTCCGGCGGAAGTCCCTGATCTTAAACCGAACCACCAACCATTTATACCTACTGATATATAACCCATTGCAAAGATTTAAGCTTGACTTACATCTGGCATTTTACCATAGAAGAGTTTATATATATATATTATATATATATATATATATATATATATATATATATATATATATATATATTTATATATATATATAGGAGACACACTGAGGGATCGAATTGAGGAGTGAAGAGATCAGAAGAAAATGCAATATACCAGAAATAAATGAGTGGACACTGAACAGAAAAAAGGAATGGAACGAACACATAAACAGAATGGAAGAGACCCGATTAGTCAGAATAGCGAGGGACAAATCACCAAAAAGGTAGAAGAAGTATCGGGCGACCACGCAAAAGATGGAGTGATAACCTCCAATAGGGGCATTAATCGACATTGAACAATCATTTTGCTTATAAAAAAGAAGAAGAAGAAGAGTTTATATGGTGTTCTACCTTCAAGACCTCTGACCACAGACCTGTTCCTTAATTATGCAGCAGTATTGATGGCTTCAGCCCAAAACTGCTTAGGAAAATCTGCATCGACTAGTAAGCACCTCGCCTTCTA